GGAGATAAAAGCAGTAAAGAAATGGTTTTATGTGGAATATAAATAAAGCTTTATAAATATTTATATTCAACAAAACTTCAAGCTAGTTTAAATTAAAATGTAATATAGTTGGTTGGGTGGGCCTTTTTTTTGGCCTATTGCGTCTCTAAATTGTTGAGTGGTTGTTTAGAAACAAACTGTATCACCTTTAGGAACTTTATAACTGAAAGGGTACACTCTGCATTATAAATGGGACCCCAATTGTTTAGCACTTCAAGACTAGGCTCTTCGTGAAGGCCTGTTAACTAGAAGTCTCGTGCCCAGATTCTTCCCCCACGAACTGGGATGCTTTGGAAGAGTATCGAAAGAATCGGCAGCCAAGATGCCAGTTCCTCATTCGTGTTATTTTGATGGCTGACCAAGCTAATTGAAATCGCACAAGCGCGCGCAATATTAAAATTAATGATCTAATTGAAAATTCACTGGCGCATGTGTAATGGTGAGAATAGTTCGAATTCCATGGGATTCAGAGAGAGTAAGAGAGTCCAGATGTAAACAAATATGCACTGGTTTGAATTCTTCAGCTCCTCGCACTGAGCATACTCACGTAAGTTAACTAACTATCCGATTTACAAACAATTTAGCTTCAGGAGGGTCGAAACGAGTTTGTCGTACTGTCTGGAAGCCCGAGTTTCACCTGCCGCAGGGGCACCTGCAGACTGCAGACTTCAGCCACCACCTACCACAACTTACACCCAATTTCGCGCTTCGCTTGCGTTAATGGGGTCCCCAAATGTGCCGTTCCACGCCCATGAGTAGACACTGTACTGAAGTGCCCCCCGCCAGTTAAACCACTCCACGCCCCTGCCCCAACGATTCTTATTGTTTAATTGCCGCACACACACACTCGTACGCGCGACGAGACGCACACGCACACCTATACGGCACACACAAGGCGTTCTGTGTTGTCGTTGTCGGTTTTGAGTTACAACTGCCTTTTACCTCGCTGCCAATATCAAATTGCTGGAGCTTCGGACTTTGCAGGCATCGTAGTGGCGACTCGCAAGATCAGAAAGCTGCGTTTTTCCGTTTTTCGTCGTTTTTCGAGCAGACAAACAATACACATACGCTCTTTTCAATGCACCAGTGTGACCGCGGAACTATCTATCAGTCATACCGTCGGGTATTCCAAAATGCTGGCGATGGTCAACTCACGTGCTCGTGACTATCGATGGCTCGCCGAGAAATCGGTGGTTCGAGTGACCAGGGCTGCACTTGCGGTGCTAACGGTAACAATTCGAAATCAATTTATTTGAGAACACAAGAGCTAAATGTGGCATGTTTCTGGTTAAGAAAATCAGTCACCTAAAGATTGATGGTTTTAAAGAAGTAGTCTCTCTGTCACCATACTCTCGCCACGATATATATTTCTTTTTGATATCCTGGATGCATACCATAAAAAAAAGGTAAATGAAAAATTGGTCTTAGACGATGCGCAACGGTTCTCAAGGTTTTTAGGCATATTTTATATTCGTAGATGCCGTACACTCAGAGAAAAAACCGTTCTCAACGTTCTCTAGTTCAGTATATTTGATCTCAAAAGTGAGCCAAGATCGGTTGTCGGTTTGCGAGTGGCTTTTGAGAATGTATGCTCTCGGTATGGAGATGAAACGTTCTCGGATTCAACAACGAATCGATCTCGAATTCGAGATGAATCGTACTCGATTTTAACATCGATGAATCGTTTTCGAATTCAAGCATTAATCGTTCTCGCTCTAAGATTCCATTCTTAAATAAAAATGTTTTTATTTATTTTAATTTGCTTATATTTTCATTTCGTTATTAAGTTTATATACATTTTATATATGTAGTTTCTTGATGAATCCCAATCGGTGGAGTCCTAATATTCTATAGATGCTATGGCAAATTTTAATTTTACGACATCTTTATAGGAGTAGCTAATAAAACAATAAAAAACGGTTTTATTACTATAACAAATCCAACAAAATATCCTCATGAAATCGTTTTAAGCCGAAATTAAAACATACAATGGACAATAGATTCCAAGGAAAATATAAATTACATCCACTTAAGATTTATTTTTTAGGGACTTTTTGGATCAAAGAAATTGTGAAAAACTTGGGAATTTCAACTTTGACGTCAAATTCCGAAGACATGGGTCATGGTTCAAGATGGGGGTTATTATACCCTTGCAGAGGGTGTAACGATTTCAGTTAGAAGTTTGCTAGGCAGTGAAGGAGTCGTTTCCGACCCCATAAAGTATATTCTTGATCAGCATCACTAGACGAGTTGATCTAGCCATGTCCGTCTGTCCATTTCTACGCAAACTTGTCTCCCAGTTTTATAGCTATCGGGATGAAATCTTTCCAAAAGTCATTTTTCTATCGCAGGTAGTGTATAAGTCGAAACAAGCCGGATCGGACAACTATATCATTTAGCTCCCATAGGAATGATCAAAACAAACATTTTTAAGAAAATGTTAAGATTTTATATTTTTGGTGTTTTTCAACATATTAACTTATACTCTTGGAAATACCATTCTTTTAATATTTCAGAATTTTGAATAAAATCTAAAACAAATGGGACGACTTTATTATATAGCTGCCATAGGCACGATCGGAGAATTAATGTCAAAACAATGCTTAGACCGTTGTTTTTCGTTTTCGGTAAACATTTACGGTAGTAAATTGAAATGAAACATTGTCTTAATATTTCTGTAATTAGTTTAAAAATCGGAAAAATCTGTACATACAATGCTCCCACGGGATCATCTGCACGGGTATGAAAACTTCGGCGTGCCGACGTTAGCTTCCTTTCATGTTTTTATTAATATGGTCTTTTATTAAGAGTGTGTCTCAGCAAAAATATTTAAGATATGTCCATTTATATAGGCATCGGTTTTTTGTATTCTTAGCTATATCGCGGAACTTGTAGGTGATGGCACAAAAGTTTATATGAGACTCAAAAAGACCTACTATCATAGAAAATTTAAAGTTTCTGGAAATTTCAACAAGCTTAATTTTGTGTTTCTGTATATTTACAGTTTTTAAGGGATCAAATTCCACATACAGTGGGCGTGTTTGTGCCTAACCGAAGTAGACACTTCCGGGTCACACCGCGGGACAAGGGGGTAATGAGCACTTGTCGCTGGCACGGGGACGCTTTGATGGCAGGACGATCGCGTCGCGGCAATGGTAACGATGGTTACTGCGATGCCGGACCACAGGCGATGCTGGAGCTGCGCTGAGGGTGAGCTAACGTGGTTAGCTGCTAGTTGAGATAGTGTATTACGAGCCCTATTCCCAGATGTAGGAAGTAGAACCGCGGAGTTAAGAGGTGTGTTGATAACTGTTTTATTCTTCATTTGGAACATGTTTATATACTACTTGGAACACGGAAGTTTAGTGTAATATTAGTGAAGTAAGCTATATTCTAAAGTTGGTCAGGGAATTATGATTATTGTAGCAGTTTGCGTAGTTGGCTGACACTGCAAAATGTGCTGACTGCATTGGCCGGTCAGTGTGCCGTTGAGTCGGTAAGACGGTGAGTTTGTGAGACATATAATATGCTGATCAGCAATTCTCATATGCAGTGGGTGCTACTGAGCGCCTGGTACTGTTCCCAACTTGGCTACTGCTTGATTTGTTGGGTGTGGTCATGTTGAGTACCTTTGGGTACGAACAGGGCGAAAGTCTAGTTGATATGAAGATCTTGATGAAATTCTAAACCAAAACAGAAAGACAGCTGGAGGGTTAGACAAAATCACATGAAATGCGATTGAACTTTTCAAAGTCAAAGCACTTAGCCCTGTTGTCTAGCCCCAACCCAAAACCAGAGTACTCAAGTGAAGAAGTTGGTACAATATACAGCTACATTTTAGGTGCATATTTGGACAAAAGCTGGAACGCTTTTATACCAATGCGTCACTTAATGAAGATTTATTTGGATTCGGTATACTTGAATTACCCGGTAGAAAGGCACACCAATTCAAATTAAATGCTTCGCTTCTCTGTCTTCTGTATGTGCAGAATTACTGGGAAGTAAGTAAGTAAAATATGCCAAAGAAATAGGTGTGAGCCATTAACTTAGTTAGAAATAGGTAAACTGACTCAAACTTAGTACAAGAAACTCATAATTGAAAAGTCCGAAGTACAAACACTTCACATCATATTCCAGGCCACAAGGGTATTCCTTTTAACGAAAAGACTGATAGTATACCTTAGTTAGCAGTTAAGGACGGAGTTGAAATAAACATTAAACTGTGCATTAAGGAATCCTTAAGAGAGATTAAAACATATTTGGAAATCAGATGGAATGAAGAGTATAGGTTTAAATGTGTAAGTAAAGGGTCTAACCTAAAGAAGCATAAAAAGCAAATAGCATATAAATAGTAAATAAATTAATGACAGGCTGTGAACTCAAATCTGTGATAAACATGTAATGTACCTCAATATGCACAGCATATAATTTATGACTGCCCAAAAGATTATCAATCTTCGTGGTAAGTCGAGGATCGATAGGTACTGTTAAAATTTATTTCAATTTTTTTTTAGAAAAAACCACTCCCTATGTGAGAGCTGGTTTCTAGTTTAGCTCTTTATCTGTCTCTGTACATATAATCAATCACATTTGTTGGTAGTTGGCCAAGCAACCAACCTGTCTAGTTGTAAAGATTCCTGTCTACAAAGGGTAACGTGTGAGGCTGGGCACCTATCCAGGAAGAGCTACTTCATATTGTCAAATGGGTCTGTCTCGAACACGCTTTCAAATCACCACTTATCTACGTTGGCGTATAAGCACATACGACCTCAAACCACCTTGTATTTGGACACTTAGGCAGTGTTGTTGTGACCAACAACCAAATCACCAGTCAGGTGATTTAAAATCAAAAACAAAATTAAATTTAAAACCAAAACATTCAAGAGTATACCCTTAAAAAATGCTTTTCGCTTTCTTACCTTTTAAAAAAGTTTCCCACAAACAAAGAATTTGTAACCTAATTTCTTAGTCTCTCCTCTCTCCGCTTGCTCTAGCATTTTCCGTAGGTTTTATTATTAACCGAAAATAATGAATAATGAATAATTTTCCAGATAAATCGTTACTTAAGTAACAGGCTTTCGGCCATTATTAAAAGGTGTAAGAACATTTCCCTTATTAGTAGGTTGCAAAACGCACAGCTTGTTTGGCTTTAAAAGTATTCCCTTGCTGGCTGGCAAATAAGAGCTCATGGACACGGGAGGGACTACAACGTTTTTGAACTGCGGCATTGGAACCCGGTCCGATTGAGCAACCACGTAACCCGGGGGCTTGGCCAGGACAGCCTGCTTTAGATTCGGAACTATTGGATTGCGCGATATCCGCGGCAGGATCTTGACGATCTTTCCATTCACAAGGAGATTATGACAACTAGATTTGGGAACATCGCTGCTGCAACGAACTCCGTTCCTGGGCTTCTGTTTGCCAATGACTGGAGCTTTCGAGACGGCACATACAGCTCCTGCACGTCTTGAGTTACTGTGTTGATCGGCAGCCGATTGGCGTTGGTGCATTTTTGACGCCTTTTCAGCCTCCATCTTGGCTGCAGCCAACGCTTCCACCGTGACGCGAGATACGACGACGGAATCACACAACGACGGACCCAAAAATCCGTAGGTAAGCGCATACTGATCCGGGAGATCAGGTGCTTCGTGAATTCTCTTTAGCACCGGGGGGCACACCTTTGCTACACGATGACGAATGTACTTAGCAGCCTGTCTGTCCAGACTGGGGGTGGAGATCCCATCGGTGGCAGTCGAGCTCAGATGAGGCTCGATGCGCTTAGATAGATGAGGTAATTGAGGCACAATGCAGGCGCGCACCACGTGACTACCCAACTTTCCCAGGCCAATGACTGCTCCAAACACCGTCGCCAGAGGCTCCTTTGTGAGAGCCCTTTGGTAAACCCTGCAATATAATCAGAAATTTAGATTGCAGCTATATCGGTTTACGTTTGCAACTTAGGTAAAATAAATATTAAAACATTTGATAGGCTATTTAAACGACAAACTTTATACCACATACTGAAATCATTATCATTAGCTTGTCTTCATTTCTTTTTGGACGGAAAACTGCCTTCTCTTTCCCATGGTTGTGCCTCACCCATTTCATGAACATGTTAATTTATGATTTACGTGTTAAGAGGACTACAGAGCTTGACAATTTCTACCGTATCTAGCCTATAAAATGCATCATATGCAATCAAAATCTGTGGAATATGTACCTAGCCTCAGTTAGGCTTCCGAACTTTATCTTTCATATACGTAAGTAATTTTAAACGGCTGATGCGAATGATTATACACAGAAGTATAAAGATAATGAAAGAAAAGTTTCTCTCTTGGAAAGTGGCTACTTGTTCTGTACTTGCCCAATAACTCTAGGAAGGATGATGTTTTCGGAGGCATCGAAGTGGCGCAATATATGGGCTATTATGTTGCCACAGTACTCCCTCAAAGCCCATTGTTTCTCCAAGTCGGGCGATAATTTGGTGAGCTGACAGGTTAGAACGGCCGGCAGGATCAGGTGGAGCTGAAATGCAACATATGCATTTTCACCTGTTGCCATTCCTCAGTGCCGAATACTCACATATTGTAGCAAATTCAACCTGGTGTTTGCCAAAAGAGCTCTGACCATCCGCATGAGGTAGAAGAGAATCGCGATGTTCTCCTGGGCCACGTTGGAGATTGTCATCTCCGCGATGAACGCGCTGAGCGTGGGCAGTAGCCCCTCCAGTGAGGGATCTGTGGAGAGGGTTTGAAGCGCCCGCTGGCGCCGGGACTCCGAGGTGCCGACGCAGGCTTCGGTAACCAGCCCGAAGAAGTACTGCTGCTCCTTGGTCAGCGGATAACGCTTGCTCGGCATCAGCAGCACCTGCTCCGCCTTCAGCCAGCCTGCGTGGGAGTTGGCCGGGTCAAGAGGAATCTCCGGTTCAGATTCCTGACCGGAAGCGAGAGGGACGGGACCAGGTTCGGTGGAAAGAGCGCCGCCCGCAACAAGGGGATTCTCTTCGAGCAGATGTCTTGGGCCAACTCCGCTCACGATCAGTCTGAAGAAAATGTCCATACCAAGGTCGTCGTCCATCCGGACAGCATGCTGGATGTGCGACAAATCCAGCCTATGCTCCCGGATGCGCCGCATGTACTTTCCCGCCTCGCCCAGCAGGTTGGAAATGTCTTCTTCGAGACTGAGCGACAACAACTTGGAAACGTCGTCGCCCACCTGACGACCCGTGCTATGCATGGATATCGCAGCCAGGGAACGCTGCGACAAGAACTTTTTGCAGAAGCCCTCGTCTTTGTCGGAGGCTTTCATTTCAGTTGTCTTTTTGTTTTCAAACTGCCACATTCTGGCACTAGAGATGGCACCGGTCGATATGCGGAGCTAGGCGCGATTATCAAATCGGATTTTCAAATATATCGAATTCAATTGAAACGCGCAGATAAAATGTTTTTAAAGAGCCCTTTTTGATTTTTGAATGTCAGTTTAACGTCGGCACAGCATGCCCCAACTTACCAGAGGGCCGATATAGGCTCCCAGTTCAAACCGATCTTAACTCCTGATAACATTTTTATAAGCAATAATTTAATAAAATAACTTACCACGTTTGTAAAATTATATCATATTAAATGTAATCATATGTGTAAATGCGAACGCCATGGTTCTATGTATAACAACTATGTATAGCTACCTATTCTACATATATGATATTCTAATCTATTTTAATAAATCTATTTTAATAATGTCCTCTTAAAGGCGAGCACCTAACATATCCTAGAGGATAGTTCCGATCACTTATCGCCTTATTTGGTCTTCGTTCAGTCTTACAATATTAAATTTAGATTTACTGATTAATTTACTTATCGCGTTTGTTCGGTTTTTTTTTGTGTTGTTTTGTAACCGCAGGGAGAACCTGTGATCCACTCACGTCGAGCTCCTTTTAAATACTGCCCTTTTGGGATTTCCACAACCGACATGAACTTGACTTTGACATTAATGTCAAGTGAAATTGAGAAAAGGCCTAGTACGAATGGGGTTGGAAAAATAAAATTCTTACGCGTAGACCAAATATGTATATATATATGGAGTAACAGCTCACGGCAGTGATTAACCTTAGGACAATGTGCGCTCATTAACCTAGCATTGGCTTTAATAAATCAGCAATTTGTAATCTGACTAATTAAAATATATTCTTTACCTAATGGTGAATATAATCTGCATACTCGTCTTAAGATCATTTTGCTTACTCAACATACAAATTCTATTTTTCAAATCATTTATTATATCTGTGTCCTTGTTATCCCAAATATAACAATTAAACGACAGTAACTAAATAGAGTTAAGAAGCTCTTGTTCAGGAAACTTATTTAATTGGACTCAACGAGAAAACAAGCATTTCAATTTCATTTGGATAATTAATACTATCGAACGTATGCCCAAATTTGGTAGAGAACAAAGCCGAGCAGCAGCACCACAACTAGGGACCTTCCCACTCGGTGCAGTCAAGAGCGTAGATCCGTGAGGGGCACGTACATCACGCCCATTAGACGTGTCATCTCCACTTTTCCATTTACGTCCTTGTCGTACTGTAGGAGCAGTTCTGATTAGTACTGGAGTGGCTAGTATACCTATGGTTCGCCCACCTGTTGCATATACTGAGAGCCTCCGTCGGGACCCACGGGCACTATGAGACGCCCGCCGTTGGCCAGTTGGTTTATCAGTTCGGTGGGCGTGTCCGGAGCAGCTGCTCCCACATGAATGGCGTTATAGGGGGCACTATCTGGGTATCCCTTGCGCCCGTCGCCCTCGACTATCAGCAAGTGTCCGGATTCGAGCATGCCACGGTCGTCAGTGTTCAAGTTGGCCTTGCTAATCTTCACCAGGTCTGCCTGATGCTCTATGCCCACGATACGGGTCTCCGGATCAGTGCCCTTAGCCTTGATATAACGATAAAAGCAGGCCGTGAGGTATCCCGATCCAGAGCCCACGTCCAGCACATGTGCACCAGGCTTCAGGTGGTCGCGTAGATACTCCAAGGCGAAGGCATGCTACGCCGTTAAAGAAAGAAAAGGTACTTAACAGGTGAAAAAACTGAACCCTTTAGAAATACGAGAGATGCCCCAGAAATCGCAGAGCACTAATTCAGCCTTTTTTTCTTATGTGCATTGTACACGAATTAGCGCTGAATTGATATCTGTGGCACCCTTCCCTACTTTATAGGGTCGAAAAAGTCTTCTTCACTGCGTTGCAAAATTGTGAGTGATTTTATAATACCCTTTGCAAATGTTCTTGTTTTTGGCTCGCAATCCCCATGTAGCCCCTTAAAGGGGGCCCTATGAAAACTTTGGTTTTAATTACCATATGAGGAGCACTGATGGTTACACCACCTCCGATGGGTTGCGGGGCGTCCATGTAGGGATTCCGCGGGGAGTAGTGCTTGCGGTCGGTTTCCGCCATCGCCTTGGCCACCCCATCACTTGCTATGACGCCGTGATCTTGGGATTTCGGTTCTATTATTAACTCTTTCCGTTGGGCAAAGCGGACAGAATGGCTCACCCTTCAGTTGACGAATGAGGTCCTCATTATTGGCTCCCACGGAACGCCACGCCATGCTGAAGGCGCGGGCAAACAGGCCCAGCTTAATAATCCCCAAAAGAAATTGCCTTTTTTCCAACGTATTGACTTTGTTGTGTTTTGTTTTTTTGTTTTCGTTCCAGCGCAGTGTTACCAGATGATGAATAGCTTTCCACCACGAATCCGCACTAAAAAATCCTGTTTCCCTAAACGCGCATTTAACGTTAAACGAGGGTATCACAGAAAAGTCGCTTGGAAATTGTATTGATGTTCCTGTGACACCCAGTATATCTTTACCATGTTTGATTTTAAGGACAAACCTTTGCAAGTTTTGGAGAATGTCAAATTACATTTTAGCGCCAGTAGTGGGCTAAAACACTTTTACGATAGGAAATATAAATACTTTATTTAAACTTTTTTTGGCTGGGACTTTTTGAACACCAATCTTTTAATACTAAATGTAGTACGCTTGCGATTTCTGTCGTACTCCCTAAAAATTATTCTGAGCGGACCGCGATTTCTTAAGATTACCCTTAAAATGATATGTGTTGTTCATTCATGGACACATGGTATCTCTGTCCTTTGAGGATATTAAATTCCCTGACAGTAAATAAAACGGCGGAAAAGAAATCTTTACTTTTATAGACGAACACAAATCTTTCAATTTATATTGCAAAATAACTTTTGATCTCTCCACGGAAAAATGTCTGCACGTGAATACTTAAGAAATCGATTTCCGAGTGTAAAAAATACTGAATATTACGATTTTCATTGTATATAAAAACACACTTCAGCTCTAGATAATACTTTCCCCTTTCCTTATAGCACACGTACTTTTTGTTGAAGAAAACGGCGCGACTGTCTGAACAGGCTAGTAAGTTCGATGTCAATAGCTTAGCTTTTATAGATTTGTTCTTTTAAATTTCGCGCTCGATCTTTTTTACTTTAGTGGGACCGCGTGTTGTGCGAAAAACGGGCTATTGTTCTTCGATGTCAGAAGGAGCTGACTGTAATCGGTAGCCGATCCTTGCTTGGAGTTGTTATCGAGTTGCTTGTAAACAAGATGTCCAATGTGGGAAAGATAAAGATAAAATCATTCGCAGAACTGCAGGCCACCACTGGTATAAACGTGGAGCCGGACCCCGACCCACCGCCCACCAGTGATATCAACACGCCGAAGAAGAAAAGCGCGGGAAAATCTCGGGCTGCTACAACGACAAAGAAAGTCCAGGTGAAAACAGACCCACTCGGTGGTGTAACTATAGCCAGCACTGTGATTAAGCGGTCGAGTAAGAAGACTCCGCTGCCAGGCCAAATGCGCATCGATTCCTTCTTCAAAAGTGCCTCCAAGAACTACAAAGTCAACATGGTGCCAAAGTCATCCGCTAAGACGGTTGATCCTCCGCTTGCCAAACGGAAAGGTACCTCAAGGGGACGCAAGCGCCTGTTCGACGAGTCCACCACCACATCCAGCGCGTCCGCGGATACACTAGATCTCAAGCCGCCCGAGAAGCGGGTACAGCCTGGTCGCCGGGCGAAGGGCAAGGAGAACGCGAGCCTCTCCGAAGCGGAAGTGATTGACCTCTGCTCCGAGGACGAGCAAACAATCAAAAATGAGCTGCCGCAGGAAACCTCCCCGAGTACAGCGAGAAGTCCCAAATCTGTATCGAAGCTCCGGACCCCACTGCACGGCTCCATCCCAGAAGAAAAGCCTATTACTCCCTACCCAGAAGCGAAGCTCGCCAGCCCAGCCAGCGTTAAGAGCTCCCCTGGGCTTCTAAGATCCCTGTCTGAAACCTTTTCCAACCCAAGTGAGAGCCCCATGCCCAAAAATTCGAAGAAAGGAACTGGGCGCAAACCAAAAAAGCCAAAGCCATGCCCGCCCTACAAAGTTGTAGAGGGAACATCTTTCTGCGTCGACGGCTTTCAGTTTGGCGAGGTGGATGGTGTCACACATTACTTTCTCACCCACTACCACGCGGATCACTACATCGGCCTGACCAAAAAGTTCTGCTATCCCCTCTTTATGAGTCCCACCACTGCGCGCCTGGTGCGAACTTTTATTAAAGTGAATGAAGTGTGCATTCATGAAATAGATGTCGACCAAACGCTGATAGTAGAAGGTGTCCAAGTTACCGCCTTAGAAGCTAACCAGTGAGGCCCATTGCTTTTCCCCTTATGCAGATTAGTCATCTTTCTGTTTGCCTTTCCAGTTGCCCTGGAGCCCTCATGTTTTTCTTCAAACTGAGCTCTGGCGAATGCATCCTCCACACTGGAGATTTTCGGGCGAGCGCCGAAATGGAGTCCCTGCCAATCTTCTGGAACCACGCCAACATAGATTTGCTCTATCTGGACACAACCTACATGAACAAAAACTACGACTTTTGTCACCAGACAGAGAGCGTCGACCGAGCAATAGATTTGGTGCGCGCCTTCATAGAGAAAAATCCGACGAAACGAATACTCATGGTCTGCGGATCTTACGTGATAGGCAAGGAGAAGATCTGGCTGGCCCTGGCTAACGAGTTCGCATTGACAGTTTGGACGGAGCCAAATCGCAGCATTGCAGCCAAATGCCTACAATTGCCAGATTTGGAAGCCGTCTTAACAGACGATCCCCGTAAAGCGAACTTGCACGTTATTACCATGGGAAAAGTTAGCTATCCGGTAGGTCCTAGCATCTTGACATATGTATATGTATTGTATTGGGTATGGAAGAGGTTTTAAGGTAAGGACACTAGTTTCTACGTTTTTCTTTTGCTTTCCTTGCCATGGGACCTGCTTTTTATTAAGATTTTGTTTCCCGGTAGAGAGCTTGATCTTTTGATTAATGACCTAAACATGTGGTTTTGAAAAACTCTGTGTGGGACAGATTTCAAAATAACTAAAAACTCACCCCAAAAGCACTCCAATCATTTAGAAAATATTTATTTTTGTTAGTA